CCCCAAAACCCCAAAACCCCAAAACCCCAAAACCCCAAAACCCCTCCTCTTCGAACGTTGATTGAATGCAAAGATTTAGGACTTAATCCCTCTTTGATGCTTCTTCAGCTGCGATCTTGACAGCTAATTTAGCAGATTTATCGAAGTCGGCTTCGAAATGAATACCCAGCTCTTCTTCCTTACCAGCAATCAATTCCTTAGCTTCCTTAGCTTTGTTACCGTTCAGTCTCAAGATGATTGGCTTTGAGAATGACTTCTCAGCATTAGCGTCAATGATAGACTTGACCAGTAGATCACATCTTAAAATACCTCCAAAGATGTTAATATAAACGGCATTTACGGTATCGTCATTGCACAGAAGATTGACTGCAGCAATCATCTGATCTCCAGCTGCGCTACCTCCAACATCGAGGAAGTTGGCTGCCTTTCCTTCGTGAAGTGAGAGGATGTCCATGGTAGCCATGGCAAGTCCTGCGCCATTGACCAAGCACCCAATATCTCCTCCGATTGGAATGTAGTTGAGGTCGTATTTATCAGCAATGATTTCATTTGGAGTCTCAGAAGATTTGTCCTCTTGCTCAGCAAGTTCTTTCTGTCTGAAGGCAGCATTGTCGTCAATGGTGACTTTGGAGTCAGCACAGAGAACTCCTTTTTTAGCATCTAATACCATAGGATTGATCTCAACCATATCAGAGTCACAGCTGTGGAATCATTTGTATAAGTTCTGAACGGTCTTAGCAGCAGAGTCATGGTGATCTTCTAATCCTAAATTCTTGACTATCTCCTCAATCTGGTCATCTGTGAATCCTGAGCTTTCATTAATATAAGCTTTGAAGATCAGCTCTGGAGTCTTTTCAGCAACATCTTCAATAGCCATACCACCTGCTGGAGAATAAACCAAGACTGGTGATGAGGTTTCCCTATCAAGTGCGAAAGCAAGGTACATCTCTTTCATGATATCTAGGAGTTCGACTAGATACACCGAATTACATCTGAGTCCTTCCTCTCCTGACTGCTTGGTCACGAGGGAGTATCCGATCATTTCCTTAGAAAGAGTCTCAGCTTCTTCTGGTGTTTTGGCAATATGTACTCCACCTCTGAATTGGTTCTCTTTGAAGAAACCTCTTCCTCTTCCTCCTCCTAGGATCTATATGAGGGTTAGTTCTCTGGATATCTTAATGAACCATGGTATGCTTTAGTAGAGCCAGCACACGCTTTTTCAGTAAAAAGCTGGTCAAAAATACGTACCTGGGCTTTAACAACGGAACCTCCGTTGGTCCTCTCTTGAATGGACTGTGCAACAGTCCTAGCATCAGCAGGGCTGAATGCAACTTCTCCCTATACGAGTCATGACGTGAAACCTCCAAAATCTTACATGTGGAACTGGAACATCATATTTGCTCAGAAGTTGTGCAGCCTGGTACTCATGCAGCTTAATTCCTCTGAAGGGCAATGTGGTGAGCCTATTTGGCTTCATACCTTTTATGACCAGGTTCTTGCTAATACGACCTAACATTTTTATGAATATTATTTTTATTTTCAGATTTTACTGTATAAAACGGGGTTTTGGGGTTTTGGGGTTTTGGGGTTTTGGGGTTTTGGGGTTTTGGGG